ATTTTTCATATGATTTTTTAAAAGATGTTTAAAAACATACAAGCCTCATGCAAATCCATCCACCTCTACTTGCCTACAACTGGAGGAACCGTTCAAAGAGGCCATTTCACAGGTCACTGATAGGATCTTCATTTTCACAGACAGTATGTTTTGCATCCTCACCTGCCTTCTGAGTTCACAATTTTATATCATAACTACATACCAAAGAGTCTAGAGTTGCCTTCTGTTGTACTAGAAAATCCCTGGTACAATATATTTCAGACTGCAATTTACTCTGACTATGGACAATTCATCCCACCACTCCACTTTCCCCTCTTGATATCCATACATTTTTCTCTATGTCTCTATCTCTGTTTTGCAAGTAGGATCATCTATAGCATTTCTCTACATTCCACATATATGCATTAATATACAATGTTTGTGTTTCTCTTTCTGATTTACTTTACTCTGTATAAGTCTCTAGGTCCATCCATGTCTCTACAAATGACCCAATTTTGTTCCCTTTTATGGCTGTTGTTGTTTAGTCACTAAATCGTATCTGACTCTTTGTGACTCCATGGACTATAGCATGCCAGGCTTTCTTGTTCTCCACTGTCTCCCTGAGTTTGTCTCCCTGAGTTTGTGCATTGAGTCACTCATGCAATCTAACTGTCTCATTCTCTTCCACCTTCTGCTGCTGCCCTCAATCTTTTTCAGATGAAGGAAAGCATCAGCATGGTCTTTTCCAATGAGTTGGCTCTTCGCATCAAGTTGCCAAAGTATTGGAGCTTCAGCATCAGTCCTTCCAATGAATATTCAGGGTTGATTTCCTTTGGGACTGATGGGTCTGATCTCAAGAGTCTTCTCCAGCACAATAATTCGAAAGCATCAATTCTTTGGTGCTCAGCCTTCTTTATGGTCCAACTCTGACATCTGTACATGACTACTGTAAAGTGCATAGCTGTGACTATATGGACCTTTGTTGGCAAAGTGCTGTCTGTGCTTTTTATGGCTTAATAACATTAAACTGTATATATGTACCACATCTTTGGGACTTCCCAGGTGGCACTAATGGTAAAGAATCCACTTGCCAATGCAAGAGACATGGGTTCAATCCCTGGGTCGGGATGATCCCTTGGAGGAGGGCACAGTAACCCACTCCAGTATTCTTGCCTGGAGAATCCCATGGACAGAGGAGCCTGGCAGACTACAGTCCATAGGACTGCAAACAGTTGGACACAACTGAAGTGACTTAGCCCGCATGCAACACATCTTTAGCCACTCATTTGTTGATGGACATTTAGGTTGCTTCCATGTCTTGGCTATGGCAAACAGTGCTGCAACAAACATTGGGGTGAATATGTGTTTGTGAATTATGGCTTTCTCTGGGTATATGTGGTATAGTCACTTTAGAAGACAGCCTGGTGTCTCAGATGGTAAATAATCTGCCTGCAATGCGGGAGACCTGGGTTTAATCCCAGGGTTGGGAAGATCCAATGAAGGAGGGCATGGCAACCCACTCCAGTATTTTTGCCTGGAAAATCCCCATGGACAGAGAAGTCTGGCAGGCTACAGTCCATGGGGTCACAAAGAGTCAGATATGACTGAGTGACTAAGCACAGGGAAGTTTGTGGTAAGGCGAGATTTACCATGTGACCAAGAAATTATACACCTAGGTATTTACCTAAGTGGACTGAAAACTTATGTCTTTATAAAAACCTGTATATAAATATTTACCTCAGCTTTATAGTCACCAAAAACTAAATGCAACCAAGATGTCCTTCAACAGGTGAATGGGCAAACTGCGGTACATCTAGACAATGGAATATTATTATAAAGAAATGAGTTATCAACCCATGGAAAAACATACAGGACCTTCAATGCACATTGCTAAGTGAAATAAGCCAGTCTGTAAAGGTTATATACTGTATGATTCCAGTTATATGACATTCTAGAAAAAGGCAAAGCTCTTGAGATGATAAACAGATTTATGGTTGTGCTAAGAGAGAATGGATTATGGTTGAGGAAAGACAGTGGCTGAGTACCAAAGGGGTGTACAGGAGAAATTTCGTGGTGATAGAACTGTTCTGTATGCTACTTGGGTAGTAGACACATGACTGTATGCATTTGTAAAAATCCATATGAAAACATATCACAAGGAATAAACTTTAATGTATACAAGCAAAAGGACAAAGCAAAATATCAACCAGGTTAGTGGGAGATGCCAGGATGGAATGTAGACTGTGACAAATGAATGTCTCTACATTATAAATGTGTGTAAAAACTGCACCGAATGGAGGGGTAATAAAGGAGTTATGTGAGTAACTTTTAACAAATGGTATTTTGACAGACACTATAAGGTAAAGCCAAAAGAAGAAAAACAAACACTGGATTGTAATTGGTAAAGTTGTTTCTCAAGGAGTAAGGATCAACAATTCTGGTTGTTGTGCTATATACATGTATAGTACCAGAACTGAGCAAGTAAGCAAATAGTTGATGGATGGTAGGTTTCTCACTGTCAGAGACAGAAGTTAAAGATCAATAAGAAAAGAATACTATGCCTCCAGCTGTGATCTACTGCCAAAAGGCTTATTAAGTATGAACTCATGTTTAGGTTAATATAGATGCTGATGAATAGATACAGAAATAATTATAGATACATACGTGTATATGGTTTAAAGTACATCCATATACTTCCTATTTCGTAGGTCTGCCCAGTTTAAGGGTTTAGAAGTAGCATCATCCCACTAAAGAATATACTCAACATCCAGATCTTGGTTTCTAATTCTCTTCCCCAGTGGGAAGAGGATGATATACCGGACTGGAAGCCCAAGGAAACAGACCCAGCAGGCAGCAGTATTTAGGAAGAAGAAGTGAATGAGACCAAGAAGGACCCAATGAGAGCCAGGAAGGACCCAGAGATAAAGAATGTGGAGAATGAGGTGGTTAGCAAAGTATGCTACAGAGGTCACATGGGGCAGAGGGCTGTGACCACCAAGAAGAAGTCACTGGAGATGAAAGAGCAGCTCTGGGGAAATGGGAGTAGAGGCTTGCATACGCTGAGGAACAGACCACAGAGGGGACAATGAAGAGATGAAGTCAGTGAAAATACTAGGAGGAGGCTGATGGTACCAGGGCTGATGGGACCTGTTGATGAGAGATTCTCCGTGTTTTCCCTACAGGGCCATTAAAAATGTTTTCTTGAGAAAAAAATATATGACAGATAACATACTATTTCAGAAATACACTCCAAAATGATGGTTGAGTCTAAGTGCTAAAACTCAAGGTTAGAAAATTCATTAATTAGGATTGTTTTATATTGAAGATCAACATTTATTTAAATGTAATGTTTTATCTTCATACATGGCATTAGCATGTTTGCATAGAGGAGGGTGTATGAGAATTTCATCATGTTCTTATCATAACCTATGTTTCAGTTTCACACTCATATTTTTTTGCTCAGACTCTCTATTTTCTTTTGTCTGACACCTATAATGACAGAAGGTATAACTTATGCTAACAATTGATTATTCTTTACAAGAGAAGTTCAAATATGAGCCTAATTAAAGAATTTCCTAACATTTCTTCCTTGCTAATAAGGAAATCCCCTGACATGTCACTCAGACTTTCATTTGTGTGCATGCTTACACACTCTGCTACCGCTCTCTTCTCACCATCTGGAAATACCATTTGTCACTGGGAGTAATTGGCTAATTTGCTGGGTTTGCCCTTTAAATGTTCCATTTTCTCCTGACACCTGTGAGTTTCATTTAGAGGTTTTCAGAGCTTTTTATTCAAAATGGAACTGTTTGGAAAGGTGTTCTGAAGGACTGATTTGACTACAGTATCCTTTAATCAGAAGACAACACTGTTCCCACATGAAAGGCACACATCCTAAACTATGGGGAATGTAGCAGGCTGACACTAGATATACTCATGACATGTTACACTCAGAATTTGTTACACTCACAACCACAGTCTCAACTACAACAGGGAATCACCACAAAATGCTACAGCTACAACTTAGCATCACAACATGTTACCATCACAATTACAACTGTAAAAATTTCCATCATTAATGATGAGTTATAACATATCACCAGAACAAGTTACAACCACAAGTAATTTTGCCACATCAAGTCTGGCTAACACTGTCTCCATACTAGGATCAGATCTTGACAACATATTAAGATTAAAGGTTTAAATCTTTGCATGACTTGGAGGCAATGAAAAGTATCTGGCCTTGGAGGAGGGTGTCCCTATGAAGGGCTGACAGGAGGTGGTTTCTCTGTGGTGATAGAACAGTTCTGTGTCCTGACTGTAGTTACAGTCACTCAAATCTACACGTGACAAAATGTCATCGACCCACAAGTGCATGTGTACACACACACACACACACGAGTATATACAAAATCTGATGAAATCTGAGTAAGGTCTATATATTACTTAATAATAGCAATGTACCAGTGTCGGCTTCCTGGTTTTGACAACATAACTATAGTTTTAAGATATCAGGAGAAGCTGGGTGAAGGGTACACAGGAATTTTCCTGAACAATTTATTTATTTAGTTAGTTTTACAACTTCTTGTGAGCCTTAAACTATTTCAAAATCAAAAGATATTTTAAAAGATATTTGACTTGCTATAGGTGTCTTAAAAATAATTCTTCTCATGATGAGATTCGCTCCTCCCATCCCAAGAGTGACAGGCTCCCCAGGTTGGGAAGGCTGTGCCCAACAAGTCCCCTGACCTCAGGTACAATAACTGGTGCCAACTGGCAAATGGCATCTGCTAGTAATGGACACATTATCCTGTGCAGTGCCGTGGCTTAAGGAACATCAGGGGAAATATGTGGCTTTTCCAAAGAGTCTTGTAAACCCCCCCACCCACCCACCAGCTGCACAGCCTACATCACTCCAAGTGAAGCCCCAGAGGCTGGGCAAGATCCACTCTCCCAACCTTGCTGCTGTGTAATCCTGTCTTTAGTGAGACTAAGGCATTTGTACAAATCAATGCTCCTACCTTTACCCTTGTCAGGTTTGTAGTCACCACCCCCTACTAGGTCTTCAAGATCCTTGTCTGAAAAACCTGGAGAAAACGAAACACACATCTCAGTGCCCAAAAACATTTCTCAGTGACAAGCAATCTGTTATTTAATGTTGTCTAACATCTCCAGAAAGTGATGGACACTGAACAGGGGCTGTGATGAATGCGGTAGGCAAGACTCTCAAGGGGCCCCCAGAATCCCTCCCCCACAGTGTATACACCCCAGCATCCCCTGACTTTGAGTGCAGGGGGACCGTGCATGGGATGGCTTCACCCCGTGATTAGCTGATATTATATGCTGAGGTGAAGGGACTCTGCAGTAACCAGATCAGTTTGACTTCACATTAATCAAAAGGGAGACTTTCCTGGGGGGCTTGAACTTAATCAAGTGAGGCCTTCAAAATACAGCTGACCCCTTCCTAAGGTGATGCACTAGAAGCAATAGACTCAGTCTTCCTCTCCCCCACCTCCACCCCTGCCCTGTTTCCCTTCTCTCCCTGTTTCATCTCTGTTTCCCCCTGGTGGCTTTAAAGAAGCAAGCAACCATTCATTCTAGAACTGCAAGGATAATGGTTCTCTCCCAACAAGCACACAAGCTTGGATGACAACCCAAACTCAGCCAAGACCCCAGACCCAGATGACACTATGACTGCAGCTGCCTGAGGCCCTGAAGAGAAAACTGAGCTTAGCTGTTGCTGAACTTCTCACCAAAGGAAACCATTTGTGATAATCTGTCATGTGACAAAAGAAAACTAATACAAGGAAACCAAAAAAGTTATTTTATTATAGCTCAACCATTGAGTACACATCTTTTTACATTCTGTGTGATGAAATGGGAAGCATGCTTAAAGCATTTCTGTTCCACTCCAAAGTCCTATAGTTGTCTCAAAAAAGCACATGTGTGACTGTTTCAATTTTGCCTTGTATTAGCTACTTTCTGTCATGGAAGATCACTTTTACTAGAAAGAACGAACGATGTGCTAACTATGGTTATGGCGACTTGAGTATTTGGCAGATGCTTTCTTGAAAATGAATAAAATGGGGCTGTCCCTTTAAGGAACACCACTGGAAATATTTGTTGCCAGTGATAAAATTTCAAACAAAAAAGAGAATTTTGAAAAATCTATATCTACCACTGTGAGTTTAACAGCTTTCCAATATGTAAAGACTTTTTCTAATGAGATGGGTGGTGATACTAACAAATGTGAATTTCGGGCACTGCATAATGAAATAAGGCTTTATTTGAAGCTCAAAAGACCTCAGAACATCAATATTTTCCAAATGACCAAAGTGTAATGCACAAAACCACGAATGGGTAAAAGTTCCATTAAAAAGTACTAGAGAGTCCCTGTGGAATTTAATAAAATTGAGTTTGGAAAATTCATTGCTATGGTTTCATATTATACACTGCACTTAACCTGTAAGAAACAACCAGTGGCCAAGTTTGGGTGTCTTATCAAAAAAATGATACTAATCAGTGATCTGAAAAGTCTATTAAAATATTCTTCCCCTTACAACATCATACCTATTATGAGGCCAGATCTCCTTCAGATACACAACCATAACAACATATCACAAGTGAGTCCATCAGGAAATGTGAGAGTCTAGCTCTTCTACTAAGATACACATTATAGAAATCTGCAAAAGCGTACAATGATGCCACTTTTCCTAAGTTGTCTTTTTATCTTGCCATAGTTATTTCTCATAAAATGTGCTATTTATGTTAACATGTGTGTTTATTGTTGTTCATGCTTAATTAATTTTTCTGGTTTTAGGGCTAATATAAGATGATAAATATCAATAGATGTGACCCACATCTCAATAGAGATTCTCAATAACTTGGTGAGTCCTGAGACCAAAATGTTTGTCAGCCACTGCTGTCAGGTCCTGCTGGGCCCTGAAGTACCCCCAGCCCTTCCAGGCCAGGAGGAGTAGCTCTGTGGGCTATTATACTTAAGGAGCTACACCCCGACCAGGGAGCTACAGTGCTGGCCTGGGCCAACTTGGACTTACCTCCTCCTCCCACACTTGGCTTTTTGCGGTCATGATCACGATCATTTTGATCATCCAAGGCATCAGCCAAGTTAAAATCATCTTCTGCAGGGGGCCCTACGACATAAACGAGAAAGTCAGTTGGTTAAATCATAGGTCACTCATTTGGATACCACCCCACAAAGAGCTCCACGGAATCTGTCTTTTGTGCCCTGCTCAGAACAGCCGTGTTACCTGCAGGCTTTGCTGGAGCTCTGGTCGCTCCGGGTCTCCTGGTTGTGGTGGTGACACGGTCCCATCTCTCTAAAAGGGAAAAGGGAGACAGTAAGAGGAGCACATTTAGCAACAACACACAGCAGCCATGGCATGGTCAGGAAGTCACAGCATGAGCTCAGCACTCTTGATCCTTGAGTCCCCTCCAAGGATGACCAAGAGATAGAGCAAGGTTCAGATGAAACAAATTCTGCTCGCTTTTCTTCAGAGGATGCGTGGTGAGATGGACGTGATCCCACATTTGATTAATCTGCTCATTAGTGGAGCTGGGACTTGAGCCCACGTCTACAGGAGATGACCACATGCTTCAGGGGATTCCAGAGCTTGAGCACAACCCCTGAGAGCTCCAAGCCTTGGTTCCCACCACTCTTAACCTGATACCGTCGTCACAGATAACACCACCCAGGGGTGAAGTGACATTATGTTCCCAGTTGAGTATGGGAGTGTCTCTAAACTGAAAGTGGTTCTAACACCAACAAAATGTTTTATATAAGTGTGGTTACTGCTGTAATACTAGGTCTTTCAGATCAACCATATTCCTTTAAAATTGTGGACTTCTTTTCACATCAATTACAAGACATGCCATGCATAATTTTACAATACTTTCTTTCCTTAAGCAACAAGACTATGCTGTTTAAAAACAGAATTTTAAAAAAGCCAGTCCAGGTTGGATGCATGAGACAAGTGTTCAGGGCTGGTGCACTGGGATGACCCAGAGGGATAGGATAGGGAGGGAGGTGGGAGGGGGGTTCAGGATGGGGAACACATGTAAATCCATGGCTGATTCATGTCAATGTATGGCAAAAACCACTACAATATTGTAAAGTAATTAGCCTCCAACTAATAAAAATAAATGATAAAAAAAATAGAATAAAATTTAAATAATGAAACCAAAATGGAGACTATGCTGTAACTGTTCCTACAACTGAAGGTAATGGAGAGAAACAAAATTTAAGTAATGGGAAAGGCAGAGATGAAACAGGTTTAGCTTTATACACAGGAATCACTCAATCATTATTCGACTACTCAGAAAAAAAAACAGCAATAATAGAACTAGTTGAAAGTAAAAGGATTGATAAAGATACACTATGCAAATAGCAAACTTAAGAGAGCTGTAAGAGTGATACCATTATCAAATAAAATAATCTTTAAGACAAAAATTGTTACAAGAGCCAAATAGTAACATTTTATAATGATGAAAGGATAAACACAGCAGTAAGACATAAAATTTTAAATATATGTGCACCTTACAATAGAGTCCCCAAATTATACAAAGCAAAACATGACAAAATTGAAGGGAATGTAAGACAGTTCAACAATAATAATTGGAGATCTCAATATAATCCTTTCAATCATAGATAGAACAAAAAGGAAATATAAGATTTGAGCAATACTGTAAATCAACAAGATCTACCAGGCATCTATAAAACACATCCCCTCAAGCAGGAAATACATTCTACTCAATTGCACATGGGACATTCTCCAAGACAGACCACATGCTAGGCTTCAAAACACATCTCAATATATTTTAAGTCTGAAATCATACAAATTGTGTTCTCCAGCCACAATGGAATGAAAACAGAAATCATTAACAGAAGGCCATTTGAAAAATTTCCAGTTATATGGAAATTACACAGTACACTTCTAATAACAATGGGTCAAAGAAGAACTCACAAAGGAAATCATAAAATACACTGAGATGAATGAAAATAAAAACATAACATACTAAAACTTACATCATATGAAAGTAAACCATTGACAAAATGAAAAGACAACCTACTGAATGAGAGAAAATATTCACAGATGATTTGATCAATAAGGGACTAACATACAAATATATAAACAGCTCACACAGCTCAACAACAGAACAACAAACAACTTGATTTAAAAATAGGCAAAAAAACTGAACAGACTTTTTTTTTTCCAAAAGAGGAATGTAGATGGCCAATAGACACATGAAAAGAGACACATCACTAATCATCAGGCAAATGCCAATCAAAACCACAATGATTACCCTCACATCTGTCAGAATGACTATTATCAAAAAGACCACAAAAAATTGTTGGCAAGAATGTGAAGAAAAGGGAACCCATGTGCACTGCTGCTGGAATGTAAATTGGGGCAGCCGCTATGGAAAATAGTATGGAGGCTTCTCAAAAATCTAAAAATAGAACTACTATATGATCCAGCAATTTCACTCCTGTGTGTATTTCAAAAAGAAAAACCCAAAACACTAATCCAAAAAAATACATGCACAGCAATGTTCATAGCTGCATTATTTACAATAGCTAAAGATATGGAAACCATAAAAAAAATGAAATTTTGCCATTTGTAACAACACAGGACTTAGATGGTATTATGCTAAGTGTAGTAAGTCAGATAGACAAATACTGTATCACTTATATGTGGAATCTAAAAAATAGAACTAGTGAATATTAAAAAAAAAAGAAACAGACTCACAGAGAACAAACTAGTAGTTACCAGGGGGAGAGGGAAGGGGGAGGAACAAGATAGGGGTAGGGGATTAAGAGGGACAAACTGTTATGTATAAAATAAGCTACAAGGATATATTGTACAACACATGGAATATAGCCAATATTATATAACAACTATAAATGGAGTATAACCTTTAAAATTTGTGAACCACTAAATTGTACACCTGTAACTTACATAATATTGTACATCAACTATACTTCAATTTAAAAATGGGCAAAGGACTTATGACATTTCTCCAAAGAAAACATACAAATGGCCATCGAGTACATGAAAAGATCCCCACATCACTAATTATCAGGGAAATGCAAATCAAAACCACAATGAGACATCATCTCATATCTGTTGGGAAGACAACTATCGAAAAAAAAGATAAATGTGTTGATGAGGATGTGGAGAAAAAGGAACTCCTTGTACACTGTCAGTGGGAATGTAAAAGGTGCAACCACTATGGAAAACAGTATGGAGATTTCTCAAAAAAATTAAAATTAGCCCTAACAAAAAATAAACAACCCAATCAAAAAAGGGTAGAAGATCTAAACAGATGTTTCTACTTCTGGATATATATCCAAAAGAATGGAAATCAGGATCTCAAAGAGGTTCTCCCTTGGGAAGGCGTTGGGTACAGTTCAATGTGAAGTTTAATGCCTACTTAAATGTGAAGGCCAAATTAGTAGATGGATTTTTATGGTAAGGGAACCACAAGTGATACATGCTGTCATTGTGTATTAAAAAAAAACTCTACATCATCAGTTTAGAGATAGTTTTATATCTATATTTTCCATTTGACTTTGTATCTATAAAATGAAGAAGTACAAAATAGATAACCAACAAGGACCTACTGTATAGCACAGGGAACTCAATATTCTATAGTAACCTAAATGGGAAAATAATTTGAAAAATAATGGATATTTATATGGGTATAAGTGAATCACTTTATTGTACACCTATAACTAACATCATTATTAATCAACTATCCTCCAATATGAAATACAAATTTTAAAAAATGAAGAAATACAGCTTACCTGTCTAAATGAGGCTCTTTATGTATATCTTGTATTATGGTGATATGTATAGTTAGGAATACAGCTTCCCAGGTGGTGCTAGTGGTAAAGAACCCTCCTGCCAATGCAGGAGACATAACAGATGCAGGTTTGATCCCAGGGTCAGGAAGATCCCCTGGAGTAGGAAATGGCAACCCACTTCAGGATTATTTCCATGACAGAGGAGCCCAGCAGGCTATAGTTCATAAGGTTGCAAAGAGTCAGACACCACTGAAGCCAACTTAGCACACACATAGTTAGGAAAGAGAAATGACATTACCGAAACCACTATTTGTGCAATATTCAGAAAAGCAATTGTGACTTACGTATTATTAGCTTAAAATCCATATGATTCATACAGCTATTGTGTAAAAAATATTTCTTCCAGCTTGAAAAAAACATAGATGTTAAGGGTTTATTTGGGACTCTAATTTCTGTTCAATTGATCTACATGTCTATCCTTAAGCTGTGCCATAGTGTTGTGATCATGACGACTTTGTGGAACTCTAGCCTACTACTCCCAGTTTCTGGAGGAGCCTGGTTTTTCTGAAGAACTACAGGTGCCAGTTCAAGAGTATGTGTTCCTTGTATGTCTAGGGAACCAGCTGCTCTGTCAGAGCCTGAGCCTGTGGTGATGCAGAGCATGATGTTGGATTTGTGTACTTTTTAAGACACCATTAACTTCAGATTTTCTTGTCATGAGCTTTTAAATGGGATTTATTCTCATCAACAATTGAGATGAGCAAAGTCTAGCTACTTATCAAGGAATTAGAAGAGTAAGCCAAGGTCATCAAAGCAGTGAGCTCCTAAAATAAAGTCAGCTGTTTCTGTGAAGCCTCGCTCAAAATGACAAACTTAACAAGGATTCTCTGATGCTCAGTGAATGTGGCCAGCAACAGTGCACTCCTGCTGGGAGCGCTTCTTTGTAAGGTGTGCCCCAACCAAACAGTCAATCAGCTGGGCCACTTCCCCTGGGTGTGGCTCCATGACAGTGCCAATGGCATTCAGAGAAAATCGGGGCACTCATAAGAAGCTTGATTTGGCAAAAGAAAAAGTGGGTCTCCCTGTGAGATGATTGCACACACAGCGAAAAACGGAGCGATGAGGGAAGAGGGTGTGAAGGCAGGGGAGAGGAAAGGACAAAACTCTGAAACCAAAATGGTGAACCAAGTGTTACTCCAAGTGAAAGAAGCCAAATGTAAGTCTACACATTATATGACTCCACTGACATGTCCCAGAACAAGGAAATGCAGGGAGACAGGAAGGAGATTGGTGGTTGCCAGGGGCTCTAGGGGAGGGGAAGAATCAAGGAATCAGGGGGCACTAAGGGAAGGGAACAAGGTTTCTTCTAAGGTGATAGAAATGCTCTAAAATTGGCTATGGTGATGGATGCACAACTGTGTGAATACACCAGAAAACACCAAATTGTATGTTTTAAATAGGTGAGTTGTATGATATGGGAATTATCTCTAAATAAAGCTTTAAAAAATATGC